AAATCTTTGTTTTGTGCAAATCCCTGGGCTAATGAAGGCTGGAGGTTTCCATGGGAACTCCCCACACGTGCAAGAAGAGGGTGTGAGATTTTGGAGTTCCTGTTTCTTACGTGTCTGGCTGAGCTGAGTTAATAAGTGAATCAGATTTTCTCATCCTTGGGAGCTCCATGGCCCAGGAATGTGAGACCCAAGGAAATGGGAGTGTTGGGTCCTTCTGGTGCCTCCGTGGGGCTGCAGGAACAGCCATGCCCTGTTTGACTGCTGTAAGGTGGCACAGAGAGTGCCCAAGTGACTCCTTGGAAGTTGCACAGGCAGCACTGTCCCTCTGGTGGTGCCACAGCTGCATCACAGGGACAAAGTCGTGTCCTAGAGCTCTTTACATTTAACCTGACAGAGGTTATTGGATCCTAATAACACAAATTAATGCTGTGGCCTGGAGGAGCCTCATGCCAGAGACAGGAGCTGGAGGCACAGGGTAAGTATTAGGTGCCACTGTGCTAATTCTGCTCAGATGTGTACATTAGTCTGTATTATCATCCTGGAAGGAAGGAAAAGAATCATAAAACTTGGTGGTGCCACAGCTGCATCACAGGGACAAAGTCGTGTCCTAGAGCTCTTTACATTTAACCTGACAGAGGTTATTGGATCCTAATAACACAAATTAATGCTGTGGCCTGGAGGAGCCTCATGCCAGAGACAGGAGCTGGAGGCACAGGGTAAGTATTAGGTGCCACTGTGCTAATTCTGCTCAGATGTGTACATTAGTCTGTATTATCATCCTGGAAGGAAAAGAATCATAAAACCCCTGGGTGATTCTTCCTGGAACTGGGAGATATGTGCATTAAATCCAATGAAACCTCACATTTCAGTCACTCCCTGTGCAGTGTTCATGGAAGGTGACAATTCCTTAGGAACTGAGTAAAGCTGGAGGCATGACCAAATGCTTTTAGTGTTGGAGAGGTGAATTGTGCTGTGAGGGGTGCTGCACACAGCAGCTTTACTCACAACTCCTGTTTGACTGATTCTCCTCTTGTGTTCCACAGTGATAGACTCAGGGGTTCCCGAGAACGGGGAATGGAGCCCTGCCTGCAGCTCCTCTTTTGCTGGCTGGGAGGCCCATACTCGTGGCATTGGCTCCAAACTGCTCGTTCAGATGGGATATGAGTTTGGAAAAGGTAAGGGGAGAGGGTGGTCCTGGGCTGTTAAGAAAAGCACAAGATTTTGGTTGAAGCCAGAGCTTTGCTGTGCTGAAGGGCCACTTGGCTGAGGCTGAAGCAGTGTGGGGGATCCCAGCAGTGTTGGAGGGAAGAGGGATGAGTTATTTCATGGAAGTACAGGCATGTGGGGCACCAACCCCTGTGTGGTGATGGCAAACAGGGGAGGCACTGGAAGCACAGTCAAGTTCATGATCAAAGCCATGAGAACCTTGTGGAGTGTTCAGAGGGGGAGGTGGAGGGGAGCTGATCTGCACAGCTTCTGATGTCTCTGTTAATGCATCTGCTGGCCTGGACACACGCTTCAAAGCCTGCTGAACTCGCTGCTCCCACCCAAATTGCATCGAGCCTTGGGGGCTCTGGGAGGGCCTCTGTGTCTCTGGTTCTTCCAGAGGAACCAAACCAGTTTGAAGTAGAACCTGGCTTGAGAAGCTGAGGGTGTGAGGCTGAGCCCGGTTCCACAGAAACCGGCCTGACGGATGGCCTCGGGCTTGGAATCACAAATCTGCTGCTGTGAAAGGCTCCTGGCCTGGCCTTTGCTGGTCCCCTTGGCTCGGACAGGAGTTCTAGCTTTTGGTACCTCAAAAGCCTGTTAGCTTGTTTTAAGCTTGTGACTGTCAATGTGAGCTTGAGGTGGGAGGTGACTCGGAGAGGGGATGCTGTAATGACTCGGAGTCTCTCCACAGGCTTAGGGAAGAATGGCGAGGGCAGAGTGGAGCCAGTGCAGGCTGTGGTGCTTCCTCGAGGGAAATCCCTGGACCAGTGTGCTGAGGTGCTTCAGAAGAAGAAGCAGGGGAAGCTGGAGCCAGGCAAATCGAGGAAAAGCCGAGCAAAGGGAAGCAGCTCTGGGCAGCCGGGCGGGCGTAAGGCCCCGCGCAACGTGTTTGACTTCCTGAACGAGAAACTGCGCGGGAAGAGCGCCGGGGACAAGGCTGGGGGCATGGCTCTGCCCCAGAGGAGCAGCAAAGAGATCTACCACGCCAGCAAGAGCACCAAGAAGGCCCTGAGTGTCAGCCTCTTCCAGACCGCAGAGAAGATTGAGCAAACACAGAGGGATATCCTGGGAATCCAGCAGGCCCTGGAGCGCAACATCGGGCGGTAGGGAAACGTTCCTTGGGATCGAGTTTGTGGTGCTGATGGGGAGGGGTGGGCTTGAAATGAGATGTGGGAGGAACAAGTGAAATGTATCTGGATGGGGCTTAAGGGGAAGTGGAGGAGGGAGTTCAGTGTGTGCTTCAGACCAGCGTGGACACCGGCAGATGTGTCTGGGGTCCTTTGGCTGGAATTCAGGCTTGGCAAAGAGAGGAGCTCTCTGAGGAAAGGTGCTGGAGTCCTTCTCGTGCCCACCTCTGCAGCATTGCTGCTGAGGATCCCAGGAGGACATTCTCTAGCCCAGACAGTGCTGAGCATCAGCTTATTCCTGGCTTTCAGCAGGTCCCTTGGGCTAATCCTGCAGGAAAGGGCAAACCCTCCTGGGATGGAACAAGCCTTTGATCTTACCATGCAGGATGACATTGGCACTGTGCTTTTTTGCTTTCAGGCACAGCATTGCTGCAGCCCAGCTGGAGAAGAAGCTGGCTAATGCTCACAAGCAGCTGGGGCAGCTGCAGGCCCAGGAAGCCAGGCTACAGCGGGAGCAGAAGAAAGCAGAGACCCACAAGAAGATGACTGAGTTCTAGGTGCTGAGGAAGGTGTTGGACTGCAGGAGTTGTCCTTCTGGTGCTCCTGGCCTCAGAGTCTCAATGAGCTGTCCTGCTCTGCTGGGCCTCAGGCTGTTCAGCCTAAAACTGGGCAAAAAAGCAGCAGTTTCTGGATGCTTCTGAGCTCTTCTGGGAGGGGGAGTAGTGCACATCCGTCCAGCCCCAAAAGCATTCAGTGAGCTGGGCCTTGGATGAGGCCTAGCTGCAAGGGATACAATTCTCTGCTCTCTTGCACTCTTCTTTCCTTCATATTCCCTGCAGTAGCAGCTCCATCCAGAGTCTGTGGGTGCTCAGGTGACAACACTGCTGGCTACAAACCAGCTGAGGGGGCTTGGACAGCCCCACATCCTGCCATTAACTGTGGCTTCTGTCTGTGGCCACCTGCCAAGCACAGGTGCAGGCAGGGTCCCAACCATGGCTGGGTGAAAACATCAAAGGTCAAGTGCTTTAGCTGCTCTCTGCCTTCTGGTTTTTACTATGGGATTTTTCTGAGAACTCTGTTTTTGGGGGGAGCAGTTCTTTGTAGTCCTAGTGTAAGGCAGAGACAGAAAACTGACAGTTTGGAGGTGGAACCAGCAGCCTGGAGCATCAGATTTCAGCAGTTTGACTGTTAGAGTATCCCAGGCCATGCTGTAGCCAAACTCACTGGCTTGGCATGGAGAGCTGCCTGGTTCCACAAGTAGAGTGCCATAGCTGGGGGGATAAGCCAGCAGCATATCAGAATTCCCAAACCTATCCAGGAACAGCTCCACAGGGAACCTTGTGATTTTTGCCACCATTAGCTGGGTTTTTCTGCCCAAGGTGGCTCACTGGGCATGGGTCCTTTTACTGAAAAACCTCAGGACCCAGATCCAGGTTGGACTGGGCCCTGGATGAGCACAAGGAGCAGGATCTGTTTGAGCCCAGAGTGCAGCCCTGCAGTGGGAGAGCTCGGGGCTGGGCTGGAGGCAAGCCAAGTGCTCTTCCCTGCATGTGGAAGGTGTTTGGATAGGAAGGGTGTCCTCTCCCCTTGGTTGCATTCTGTGTCGGTGGTGGCCAGATCTTGCCTGAGAGATGCTGGTTTCATCATCTGGTGGGATTTCTGCATTGTAAAGGCTTTTTTTTAAAACAAAAATAGTTTGCAATTCATGCCAGTATCTTAAAGACACTTTTGTTTTTTTTTAATTTAAGGAACCAATTTCCTTTTATTCTGTGAGTAATTTTTCTAATTAAAAGGTTCCTTTAGTACCTCTTTTTTTATCTATCCCTAAGAACAGATTAAAAACAAGCTGTCAGCCTGGGCAGGGCAGTGCCTGATTTGCAGGGTCAGGCTGCCAAACGAACAAGAAAATCTGAGACTGAAGAAGATAGGATCAGAGCTGTGCAGGTTGTGTGGGATTTCACATTGCTGCAGACACACCTCAGAAACACAGCGAGACAGCAAAACCAAACAAGATGAACATCTTCAGGAAGTCTGTGGGAGTGAGTGTGTGCTCCTGAAGAGCACCTGGATCGTGCTGCGGTCCTGGTGGATGTGGGATGTGTCATGGGCTGCCTCAGGCACTTCAACATCCATCGGTTCCTGTTGGAATTGGCTGTACTGTCCTCATTGTTCTGAATTCGTGTTCTTCGCACACCAGGCTCAACTCAAGGGTTTAACAATGGCCCTTCCCTCACAAATGACTGTTTGTTTCTCACACTTGAGTGCTAAGTGGTGACAAGGATTAATGTTCCCAGCTTAGCGTGGATGCTCAATGAAGTGGCCCATGACTGGAGAGCTGAGCTGGGCAGAGAAAACTTGGGGGTTTATTTTGTGCTCTGAGACTGCTGAACATCATCATCTCTTTAGGAACTGTGTGTATGAGCCCCGTGTCTTTGCCAAATCCATTTTGACCCTTCCTTGGCATCTCCACAGCCTGACTTGTCAGACTCCTGTTCCAGCAGCCGCCACCTCCCACCCAGCGCAGTTCACACCCCTGATGAATAAAGCTGGTGTTTCTTTTTCCCCTCTCCCCCTGCGAGGCGTTGTTCATTTGCAAGGTAATGACGATCTGGGGCTCCCCGTTCTCCCTGCGTTGCCCCGAGCTCCCGGAGGAGCCGGGCGGGGAGCGGGCGCGGCCGGGGCTGCGGGCGCAGACCCAGCCTACCGGGGGGAAGCCACCACCTCCGAGGCCAGGAAGCCGTGGGGTGTGTGTGTGTGCTCGGTGCCTGCTCACAGCCGGCTGCTCCTCAGGGAGCGGGGTGCTGGAAATGTGCGGGAGGCCCTGACTGGGACTTGCTGTGGGATAAGGAATGGAATTCTGCAGGGAGGAGAGCATGGTTGGATCCCTGCGCTCCACGCTCACCGGGTTTTGAGTTCCTGCAAGTAAGTGGTGGTGGCTGTCCTGCCTGGGAAATGAGGAATCCGCAGCTGAACTGGGGGGGAGATACCTTAAACCCCCCAAAGTATACAGGAGTCACAGCATTGTCAGAGATGCTCTTGGGGCTGGGTAGACTGGACAGGCAGGATTCCTGCTCTGCTCTGGGAAGCCTCAGCTGGGTTCAGCTGTGTGAGTTGGGCTCCAAGCTGTGTCATTCCACGCTTTGTGCTCTGTAGCTGGGCTTAAAAGGGAAGAGAAGGTGGTGGAGCTTGGCAGTGCTGCTGGGATCCCATGGCTGGGGTCTGGAGACTCAGTGGGAGCCAATTTCTCTTGGGGTGAATGAATTCAGTTCAGAGGTGTGTGGCATTGTGGAAATTTCCAGTTGTTTTGTGAGGAAGGGGACAGGAGTGTTGCTGGTGTGTGCAATGGGAAAGTGCTGAGCTCCTGTCTCTGGGTGGGGAGGCTTGAGAATGTGGTGCCTGAAATGCTGTCTTCTGAAAACCCGAGACGATGTAGAAGTAGTGCGTCTGTGGCAAAGGAAACCACGGTGGCAGGCAGATGGTTCTGGAGGAGACACATCTCCTTCTTACAGCCGTGCTGCAGTTTGGAATCTGGCTTGTCCTTACAGCAGCTCCAAGCTCTCCGCTGGTCTCCTGCTGTGGCTCAGCTCTGCAGAAAACCTCTTGAGGTTATTCTTGCCTTAAAAGAGCATTTTTCTGCCCAAGTGAGTGTTCAGCAAGCAGGGAAGGGCAGGAAGAAAGAAAAGTGCTGAAATGGTGTCAGCCTCGAGCAGAGCCCTGTGGTGTGGGCTGACAGTCACTCACCTGAAAGTTTTGAAGTTGTATCTTCTCAAAAGCCACTCCAGCATGTGAGCAGCGATCAGAACTGCAGCTAGAAGTCTGCATCCAAGTTTTCAGGCATTTGGGTCTGGCATTTACAAGTATGGTTGGCACTTTCTAAATGAAAAGCCCCCAGAGGTGTTTGACCGTGAAATCTCATTGCAGAGATAAGCAAAGTGGGTAAGATCTCATGCCTGCTTTTGTGAAATAATCTTAAAATTCACTAATTTTAGTGAATTTGGGCAGATTCAGTGTTGTAACTGACTGTAAACAGAGCTTTCACTTTTTGTAATTGAAAAGAAAAAAATCCATCTACTTCTGCTTCTTGGGCCTTTTTTGAAGCACAACTCCCTGGGGTACCTGAGCAGAGTTTGCTGCAGCTGTGTGCAGTTGCTGATGAAAATCAGCTCAAAATGTTCCTCTTGGTTTTGTGCAAATAGGCTTTGAGTAGCTTTGCAGACTTTTTCCTTGCCACCCTGCACTGAACACTGCGTGGTTTTATCTGGGGAGATGAATCAGAGGCCAGGCAGAATCATCAGCAGCAGCACTTGGTTTTGCAGTGAATTTAATCTTGCTTTCAGGACGCCCAGATGAGTTATTTGCACCTTTTGTAGGAGTCACAAAAAACTCCCACGTCCTGGAGGAGCAGCAACCCATCTGCCTTAAGGGTGCAGGGTGTCACACAGAGGAGTGATCCCTGCTCAGAGGGCTGTGGGTGCTGTCACACGTATCAAACACTGTGACTGCCCTCAAAGGCCTTCAAAGCCACCTGGGCTGGGCTGGTGGAGCCAGAGCCTTGCGAAACGCCGTCTGCTCAGTCTCCTGCCCCGGGGAGCCGCCCCAGGACAGGGAGATCGATATTCCTGCCTTTATTGGCAGGAAATTCAGGTGTGGGTTTCAGAAGGTCTGGCTGAGACTTTGCCTTGCAAACCTGCTCAGTCCTACCTGGGTGTGGTTAGTCAGGCACTGGGTTCTGCTGGCAGATCTGTGGTTTTGGGAGACCCAAGGTGTTGTCCTGAGAAGTGGATTCTCCTGGTGACTGCTGAGCTGAGCACTGAGGAGGGTGCACTGCACAGCTTCACTGCTCAGACATCCTGGAGCAACCACCGACCTGCTCTACAGAAAGTAGGCCAGAAGAATTTCTCTGCATTCGTTCCTGCTCAAGGAAGTCTCTCCTTTCAATCTTCAAAATTCAGGGATGGAAAATCCCCCTGCTTTGGGATAAGCTGCCCTGTTCCTGCCTCATGCTGAAAGCTCCCACCTTGATTCCAACTTCACACCAGCTCCCGGCCGTCAAACCTTGCTAGAACTTTGTCTGCTCAACTCCAGAGCCTGCTGAGCTCTGCCCTGCTCCTGCAGCCCGTGATTCCATCACTCTAATGAGCTGAACGAGCCCAGCGAGGAGCTCCAGGCTCTGTGTAACACACCGGCCCTGTTGCAGGTAATCCGAATAATTAAAGTATGCTCAGACAGAAAAGCTGTGTTGTCTAATTAAAACGTTGGAAAGGGAACAGCCTCCCCTTCCCAGCTCTGATCTAAGCCAGTCTGTCCAGCCTGGTTAGTCCTTAAAACCTCTCTGTCTCACTTTCTACCTTGAAATAATTGCTCTCCAGGGTTCATGCTTCAGTCAGGGCAGTTTCCAAAGGCATGGGAAGTTTGTAGATAAAAGGATGCTCACAGATAAAAGGGTGCTGCAAATGGGCAGGGACCTTCTGGTTATTGGGGTAAAAATGTGCCAAAGATGCTGCTGTGTGACCGGGGGTGCAGAGGAGAGGGGTGCTCCTGTGGGCCTGCAGTAGCTTTTGAGATTTACACAAGGCAGGGTGGCTTCTCACCTGAGCTCATCTGGGCTTTGTCGTGCGGATGAAGATATGCAAGAGGGTGAGTAAGAGGTGCTCAGCATGTCCCTTTGGATCTCTGGGTTCCCATCCATGCTCAGCTCTGCCCAGGGACCCTACTGCTGGCCTCATCTGGATCAGCTACCGTGCCTTCTTGAAGCTGTGTTTTACTCCAGGAACTGCCTCCATCTCCTTTCAGATCAGGCATTTCTGGGGTGCTGGTGACAGGCCAGCCTGTTTTTGTAGAGCAGGGTGCACAGAGCTGAGCTGTGCAGAGCTGGGAGCTGCAGCTGCCGTCGATGCAGTGAAGGTGAAGGCTGTCAGCTCTTGCTTTGGGTTTGCAGCGTGCTGGCAGCAGAGCAGGGACGGGGATGGTGGCATGGAAATGATGGGACAGAGGTCACCAAAAGCCTCCTGGGGAAGGAGGTGATCCTGACAGGCTGGGGAGCACCCGTGCTTTGTGTCAGGACCCCCTCCTGCCCCTGCTCCGCTTGCTCTGCCGCAGTTGCAGGGGATGGTTTTTGCCCTGAGGAAAGCACAGGAACAAGGGCTGGGTTTGGGCAAGGCACAGCTTTAGGCTCAGGAAGGGGTGGGAAGATGGGGTGTTTTCTGCTCTGGTGTCACAGCAGAGAGCAGCTGCAGACCTGGGGTTGTGGTGGCACAGGGAACGTGTGAATCCATTGCAGAAGGAGGGTGTCCTGGTGTGTTCTGCTGAGGCCAGGGCATGAGGAGGGAGAGGAGGGGGAGGAAGATGCTGAAGCTCCCCCTGTTTTCAGGAAATTGAGTCATACTGCCTGTCTTTACTAACCTCCCCTGTGCTCAGGAGCAGTGCCACCCCCATCCCACAGCCCGGGTTGGTGTCCCAGTGTCCCCAGAAAGCACTCTGTCATTCCTAGGGTGTCTCCAGAGGGTTTTCAGGGCTCCCGGGCATCTCCTTTTCACCATTTCAGTGGCAAATTGTGAGCTTGAATCCCGCTGGTTTTGTTGGATTGGGGTTTTTTTTCCGAAAGGAACCAAAATTTGAAGATTTCCCTGGTGGTGACAGAGCACCCACTGTCAAGTGTCCACACAGGGCTGGGCACTGGAGGTGTTACAGTGACTTTGGGGACAGCAATTGCTGGCCCGAAAATGGGTCACCCAATGAAATGTCCCCATCCAGAGCACCCCCCTGCTGGGGGACTGTGCTGCAGGGGTCCCTTAAGCCCTGGGGGTCACAGAGCACTATTTCATGCCATGGTGAGCCCAGCAGCTCAGGCTGAACTCCAACTCGTGTTCTCTCTCCTCAGAGCTCAGCCCTGCAGTGGTGCTGCAAGCGGCTCCCCATGGCTGCAGCCAGCAGTGAGGGGACAGCAGGGACCCAGCTGCTGCCAGCTGGCACTGCCCTGGCCCTGCTTGGTGGCCTGGTCTACCTGGGCACCCTGTGTGCTGCCTGCAAACGGTACGTGCTGCCCACAGCTCCTCCACTCTCCCTCCTGGGGCTGGGTGGGGCTGGGGATCCCTCATTTGGTGGCTTTTGGTGGCTGCATGTGGGGACTGTGTGCAGCCATCCTGAGCTGGGACCACGGGGTCAGCAGCTCTGCCTGGCTTGATCCTGCATCCCTGTGTGTCACAGCCCCCTGGAACAGCCCCTACAGCCAAAAACCTCAGAGGAGCAGCCCAGAGAGGGCTGAGCTGTGAGCAGGAGGGGCAGTGCCAAGGGTGGTGCCAGTGGTGCCCTGCACAGCTCAGTGGGGTGCAGGATGCAATTGTGATGTCCCCGGGCAGCACAGAGCCTGCTGTGGGGCTGGGGAAGGGGCAGGACGTGTGTTTTGGGACACTGGGGACCCAGGACACCTGCTCCTCACCCCTGGCTCTGCCACCTGCCTTGGGCTCAGCCCCACTTCTCCCTGCAGGAAGGGCAGGAAGAAGGTCGCTCCCAACGGGGTGAAGCTCGTGGATGAGGTAAGAGCACGTTTGGGGGGCAGGATCAGCCCTGGGAGGGGTCTGGGCTCCCAGCCCAGCCTGAGGGTGTCTGTCCCCCCTGGCAGGCCCTGCTGTGCCAGACACAGCTGCGGTCACTCAGCAAGTCGGACACGAAGCTGCACGAGCTGTACCGGGTGAAGGTCAGAGAGGATGGTGAGTGGCCGTGGGGCAGGGGGGGCCCAAGGGGCTGGTGGCCCTTGGCAACTGCCTGCAGTCCCCATGCTGCCCATCGTGCCACGGGCAGACGTGCCACAGCCTGGCACAGGGGTTGTGCCTTGCATCCCCTCATTTCCTCTTCTCTCCCACAGTCCAGCGTCCGGCCAGCCTGGATCTCCCCGGTCCCGCGGCCCCTGGAGGAGAATCCCTGCACAGCTCTGGCCTCCTGCACCGTGAGCTGCCCCAGATCCCCGTCCCTGAGCCCCCGGCCACTTCCCCAGCCCCTGACCAGACCTACTCCAACCTGCTCTTCAGCCCGCTGCGGAAACCAGCGCCAGACGCTGTCTATGAGTGCCTGGCCGTGGGGGGAGAGGGCACCCCGGTGCCCCCCATGCCAGCTGGCACCCAGCTGTCCCCTCCACGGGCCGTGCCTGGGGCAGCTGACTATGCCTGTGTCCATAAAGTGAAGAAGGCAGTGTCGGTGGAGGTGCAGGATGGGGCTGGGGCAGGACCCTCCGGAGCACAGCACTGCTGGCATGGCACAGAGAGTGCCCCTCATGCCAAGGTACAGCTCTGGGGACAGCAGGGATGGGGCACATGGTCCGGGGTGGGTCATTTAATTCCCTCTCTCCTGGCTGTGGCCATGTGTGGAGCAGGGTACAAGTTAGGATCCACTGCCAGGATGGGGATCCTTGGCATTGCCCCTGGCATTGCCCCTCCTGCTCACAACTTCCATCAGAAGATGGGGGGGACAAAATCATGAGGGTACCCTGCAGTGGGCAGGGATTGCCCCCAAACCTCCACCCCCAAAAACAATTCCTTTTGCAGCTGGAGGAGATGTACTCGACGGTGTGCAAAGCCACCAAGAAGAAATCCCAGGCCCCTGCATCAACCCCGAGGGCTGTGAAGGAAGCGGGGTCCGGGTGGCCGCCCCCCTGCCAGCAGGAGGGGTCCCCAGCAGCCCCAGGTCCCCCTGACCCCTGTTACGAGTCCATCAACGACAGAGCATGGCCTGCTCAGGCCCGTGGCCCCGAGCCTGACTATGAGGCTGTGGACATGAACTGGAAGAAGGCAGCAAAACGGGACAAGCCGGGGAAGGCCTGTGTCCCCGAGAACCTGTATGAGAGCGTGGTGGATGTCTGGGCAGGGGCGTCCCGGAAAGCCTCTGCCCGGACAGCAGCCAATGGGCTGGAGGTGTACATCACCAACCTATAGCCCCCAGGGCCAGGGGCAGTGCCACAGGGAGGTCCCACCTGGCTGGACACCGTCGGGTGCCAAAGGGACAGGTGCCAGCAGCCCTGTGCCCACCAAGCCCTGTGCCCACCAAGCCCTGTGCCCTGCACTCACTCTCTGTTTATATTTTCTGTTACTTTTCTACGAGTGTCCTTGTCCCACCCCAGCCCAGCTGCTGCCAGCAGCTTGATGGTGGCATGTCCCCAGATGGGCATTTGGGGGTGCTGGGTGTGACCCCAGTGAGACAGGGCTGGCACCAAGATGGGAACAGGGTGGGGACCAGTCACATTTTGGGGTGGGGGGTGATGGGGCTGCAGCCAGCCCCATGCCTTGGGCTGCAGGATCAGACTCCCATCAGGAGGTTTCTGCCGTGACTGAGGGTCTCTGTCCTCCTCACACTGCCTGGGGGAGACCAGGGCCCCCTCCAGCCCCCCGTAAGCCCTGAGGAGCTTTGCTCCCCTCACAGAATGCCCCTTGTTATGGGGAGATGGGGTCAGCCATCACTGAATCACTGAATTCATCACTGAATTCAGGGATCACTGAATCCATCTCCTCACCCTGTACAGGACAACACAGAAATTTCACTGGTGTGGGCTGTGGGCTCTGCTCCATTCCCACCCTTTCAGACCCATGCTAGGGTGTCTCCATGGGCAGCCCTCTCCCAAACACCATTAAAAGGCTGAGAGAAGGTTTACACTCTTAAACTGAGTCTAAATCCCTGTTTCTGGGGGCTCTGGCTGCTGCTGCTGGTGCAAGTGGTGCTGAGAGAGCAGCTTTGAGCACGATGTGACTGCGAGTGCGCCCTGGATGGGCGGTTTGGCACCTCTGAAATGGGGACACAGCCACCAAGAGCTGCTGTAGGGGGTGATCTGTGCCACAGCAGAGCCTTGCCCAGGGCTGTGGTACAAGCCAGGCTGTGTTTGCTCAGCATTTGCTTCCTCGCTCACCTCCCCATCACTCCCGCGGGTCCTGCAGCCTCCGTGAGCCAAAAAAGCTTGGGCGAGCTGGATGGGTACCAGAGTTAAACTTCCCTCCTCTCTTCCCCGGTGGAGATGAGGCAGTGATGGTGGCCCTGGGCACATGGCCAGTGGCTGCCTGACCTCGTGGCACGGTGGCCTGGAGCTGGGTGGAGCCCGCAGCCCCCGTGCCGTGCCGTGCCGTGCCGTGCCAGGCGGTGTGGCAGGAAGCCACGCTCCTTCCCTCAGCATCTCGGCAGGTGAAGAGATTAAAAGCGAAAACGCAGCGCTCAGCAAACCCCGCTGAAGGCGCTCGGGCTGGAGGCACCCCAGGCTCTGTCAGCCCCGCGCTCGACGCCAAACCACAGCCGCCCTCGAGAGCTTCTCCCATCCCCCTGCGAGATGAGGGCGCTGATAGAGCCCGGCTGGGGCCGGAGCTCTTCCTGCTGCCAGCCTGCCACAGGCACGGCTGGGCTCCCCACGCTGCCATGCCCTGCTCCCCTTCCCAGGCTGGGTCCCTCTGTGCCATCTTCCTGCTGCCAGCCTGCCACAGGCACGGCTGGGGTCCCCACGCTGCCATGCCCTGCTCCCCTTCCCAGCACCCCAGCGCACACGGCTGGGTCCCTCTGTGCCACCCGGGTCCCCTGGGAGCTGTCTCGGGCTGTGCTGAGGCACAGGAGCATCGCTTGGTGTGGGATCAGAGGGGTCACTCCGGTCCCTGCGCTGCCCGGGGGGATGTGGGTACCACTGTGCCACCTCCCGGGAAAGGCAGGCTTGGGATGGCACCAGGGAAGGGAAAGCTGCTGTGGCGGCCAAATTTGGTCTCCAATTTGCCCCAGCAGCAGCAGAAGCTGTGCAGGGGTGCCCACTTGTCCATAATTCCTGTAGGACTTGGGAGAGCCCGACTCAAATAAGAGAACAACTGCCCAGTCCTGAGGGTGCTGGAAAACGTGCCTGGAGGCTCGAAATCCGGCTGGTGGATGAAGAACCCATCCCAAACACCACCTGGAGCCTCAGGGTCTGCTCGGGAGGGTCGGGCTTGGGGTCAGAGCGAGGGGAGAGGGCAGGGCTGGGCGTGCCCCCCTCAGCCCTGAGGGACAGAGGTGAGCGGGGCTCTGTCACGCTCTGAGGGGCTCTGCTGAACGGTGCCGTTCCCACAAGAGGGAGCGAGCAGGAGCCCCGAGAGGCGGAACGGGGCTGCACGTCCTGTGGGATGCAGCTGTGGGTGCTGCAAGGCGCATTGCACACTGCGCGGTGCGACACCTGCCCGGTGTGACACCTGCCCGGTGTGACTCCTACACGGTGTGACACCTGCCCGGTGTGACTCCTACACGGTGTGACACGCTGCCTGGCGCTGCCGGGCGCTCTGTGCCATGAGGATCCGCACCCCCTGTGTCCCTGCACCCCGCGGGGCTCCTCAGCCCAGCTCTGTGGCTGTGCTGCAGCTCAGGGCTCTCCACCCAAAGCAGCCCCGCGCCCCGCCTGGCCCCCCACCCCTGAGGCTCCCCCCCGTCCCCCGGCAGCTCCGCAGCCCCGCAGGCAGCCAGGGGACACGGGCAGTGCGGGCACGACCACCTGGGCGAGGGGCATCAGTCCAGCCCGCCGCCGAGCCCTGGCAAGAGCACCCCGGTACCCTCGGGCATCCCCCAGGGATGGCGACCCTTGGGGGACTCCTGTGCAGGGCCGGGGTTGGACTCAATGATCCTCGCATGGCCTTTCCAGCTCAGGAGTGCTATGATCACTTTTTAAATTCGGGTTCCCCCTGCCGAGCCCCCCTGCCCGGGCTGGCGGCACCCTGTGCAAGGGGGGGCGATGCTCGTGGAGTTGCACAACACCGAGCGGAGCCGCCGGAGCCTCCAGCCCTGCTCCTCGGCCGCCGTTAACCATTAAACCGGAGCGGGGGCGGCCGCGGAGCCTCCCCCGGGCCCCGCAGGCTCCGGCAGGGCTGCGCTGGCGGGGGCTGCGGGATCGGGCTCCCCAGGGACGGGGCAGCATGGGGAATAAAGGGGAATAAAAACCCGTGCTGCCCGGGCGGCTTTTGGGGCCCCGCGGGTGTCCCGGTTCCCGGCTCGTGCCCCGGTCCCGTGGCGGCCGTGCCGGGGTGACACCGGGCGCTTGGCCGGTTTCCTGGGGGTTTTTTCCCGGTTTGCTGCTTTTTTCACTCTCAGGAAAGCAGCCGGGGTCGGCGCAGGGTGGGAGCGGCACCTCCAGCCCCCCCCTCCACCAGGGCAGGGAGCGAGGGGGGCCGAGCGCCCCAGGGCCAGGCTGGGAACAGGCAGGGCACCCCGGGAACAGGCAGGGCACCCCGGGAACAGGCAGGGCACCCCCGCAGCCCCCGAGCCGTGCCAGGGCAGGACGGGGGGGGACAGGCGGGGGCCACCATCCGGGACAGCCGCACGGACTCTGTCCCGGCCTTCGGGCCGGTCGATCCAGCCGCAGCAGGAGCTGGTGGCCCCTCGCCGCCGCCCGGCGCGGGTTTTGGGGCAGCTGAGGGGCAGAACGGGCTGGGCGCCAGCCGGAGCGCCCCAAGCACCCCGTGCGCCCCAAAACCACACGCACGCCTGGGATCCCCCATGGATCCCACATACCCCCTGCTCTACAGGTACCCCCTGCCAGCCCAGGCACCCGGGGCACCCCAGTGCACCCCAAAATCCCCGCACCCCGCGCACTCCAAGCGTTCCCTGCACCCGGGGCATTCCGTGCATCCCACATGGGCAGCCCACGCTCCCCGTGTACCCCCCACGCACCTCAGCACCCCCGGCACCTCCTGCACCCCTCGCACCCGCCCTGCACCCACCCCCAGCCCCGCCGTTCTGGGGGGGGTTGGCAGGGATTCCTCGTGGTGGCCAGGACTGGCGGTGGAATGAGGGACCTCTTTCCTCCTGGGAACGGCGCACGCACCCCAAAAGTCCAGACCACACCCCCTTTCTGGCAGAAGGTGACTGTAACTTTTGGGGAAGCCCTAGAGCTGATGGGGGAGCCCTATAGGCGAGTTATAGGGGATTTAAAACTTTGGGAGAACCTACAAGTTTTGGAGAATATAGCTTTGTGAGGAGCTCTGCAGCGTTTGAAGAACCCCTGTAACTTGTGGGCAGCCCTGTAATTTGCCGGGGGACATCACTTTTGCTCGAATCCCCCCAAATTTTAACGCTGCGTGTTCCACCCCGGCTAGTCCGCAGGAGCCGGCGGGACTTTGGCGGGATGCTCCGCGGTGACGGCATCCCCGCCTTTATTCGGTGGGCGCCCAGAACCCCGCACCGCAGCAACAAAACCCGGAACTTTCGGGGCTCCTCTGCAACTTTCGGGGAGCCCTGCGAGTTTGGCGGGAAAAGAGGGGTGTGACATCACGCTGGCCGCAGGGGCGCGTTGCGCTCTCGGTGGCGAGCGGGGGTGGCGCGGGCGGCCCGGTGGGGTGGTTTTTTGGGGGTGTTTATTTGGGGGTGTTTATTTTGGGGGGGTCCCGCGGGCAGCGCGCGCGGCGGGAGGGCGGGGCGCGCGAAGATGGCCGCCTGGCGGGTCACAGCGGCAGCCGCGCCCCCGCGGGGATCGGCTCCCCGGGATCGCTGCCCGCGGGGATCGCCCGCCGCCGGGATCCGCCCGGCCCCGCCCCGCGGGATCCGCCGGGATCCGCTGGCAGCGCGATTCGCTTGGCCGGGATTCCGGGGGTCTCCCCGAGCGGGATCCGCTCGGTGCCGGTGTCCGGGCTCGGCCTGGCAGGCACGAGGGCGCTCCCAGCTCCGGGATACCCGCTGGATCCCCGGTGATCCGCTCCGAGCGGGGTAAACTTGGGATGTGGAGCCATGAGGTGTGGATCTACGCCGGGTGTGGGGTGCGGGTGCTGCCGCCTTCGAGCTGCGTGGCCCGGAGGGTGTCAGGTCGTCTCCTGGCTCTGGAGATCCCTGCTGGATCCCTGCTGGATCCCTGCTGGTGCTCAGCCAGTGGGTGATGGTGCTGGCAGCAGCACCACAGGGGGACCTGGAGAGTGCTGAGGAACTCCTGGCTGGATCCCACTGCGACCTGGCGGGATCCACTCGGGATTTACCCCATGGAGTGGCTGGCAGGGTCCCCCCACAGCCCAGCCTGGCGACGCTGATCCAGCTCCCAAACCCAGCTCCCCGAACCCAGCTCCCAAACCCAGCTCCTGAATCCAGCTCCCCAAACCCAGCTCTCCAAACCCAGCTCCCAAACCCAGCTCCCCATCCCGGGGGGCCGTGGGGATCCCCGGGGCTCGGGGGTGCCCGCTGCCCGCTGCCTCTCTCCCGCAGGCTCCGCTGGGACCCGAGGGCAGCCAGGAGGCCGTGCTGCGGGCGCTGGACGCGGGGCTGGAGCGCTGCCTGGCGCTGCACTCGGCCGTGCAGTGCATCCCCGTGCCCCGGCACAGGTAGGGACGCCGGCTCGGCCGCCCCCCTCCCACACCGGGGTTTTTCTGCAGGAGGACTTTGGCCGCTGTTGGCCACGCCGGGGTCCCCGGCGGTGAGCGGCTGTCCTGCTGTGGCAGCTCCAGCTGGGAGCATCTCCAGGTTGTCCTTTTGCAAAATGCTTTCGGGTGCTCTCGACCTCTTGCTTTTTTTTTTAAGCCTAAATTTTTCATAGTTTTTTTCTACCTCAGGGAACTGTTTGGCCTTAGGCAAGCCATCCCTGTGTCCCTGGGCAGGGTGCAGGTGCCAGTATCCTCCAGCACGGTGCTGCCCATGGAGGGTTGCCCCTGGCATGGCACAGGCAGT